CGATACATGATTTATTATGTCAGACTTTCCTTTGATCTGTGGATTGTCTACAACATAATTGTAGCTTGAAAAACCACAGAGAAAAACACATCGAAACTAAGTTTTATTCAGTCTACCAGAGAGGAAACCCCAGTTATTGCAGAATCCCAATACAATGCTGGGATCTATACATGCACAGTTCAAAGAACTCAACTGAAGTCCATCCTTTCTCAAAATAAAGAAGAAGAGGCAATTACACCTAATCTACAATGGACAACCAGTGGGGACATGGCATGGTTAGCAGTATTTTACCAAACTGTTGGTTCTAAGACCTTCAATTATTACTGAGTGTATTTAACTTTAGGTCATGAGTGCCAAAAAGTAGGTCCCCAGATGTTGTAGAACAACAACTCCCATGATGCTTTGCATGCCTTTACAATGACAAAGCTGTAGTTTTAAAATATCTGGAGATCTACCTTTTGGGCAACCCTGCTTTAGGGTAATCTGATGGTTCCTCTAGAAGAGGGGTAGGCAGTGTTTGGCACTCCAGATGTTGTGGACTGCATCTCCTATAACGCTCTCACAACTGCTATCGTGTTGGCAAAACCTCTGGGAAGATGTAGTTCATAACATCTGGAGAGCCAAAAGCTTGCCTACCACTGGTCTAGGAAATGCAAACGGGTGCAGACCTTTCAAATGGGAAGTTTATGTTGAAAATATGTGGAAGGAAAATAATTTTTTTAATATGATTTATACTAGTGATCATCTACTCTTTCGGAGATAACATATAGAATTTTCGGCATGCACATTTAAACAGCCACTGAATATCTTTATTTATTTAGGATGTCATGTGACTACTAAACCAATGCCCGTGTTATTTTAAATTCATCCCCTAGAGTAGACTGATTTATAATTAGCTTTGTTTTGCCAGTACAGTAGAAGATTAGGACTGTTGTTAGCTTAACTGAAAGTTATATTTTTAAACATCTGTAAAAATAGCCCAAAAAGGGGTTGTGCATAAAAAGCTATTATAGGGCAGTTCTAAACGTGGAGTAACCAATTGTACAAGTGATTGCAATTTTGAGTTTTAGAACTTTGCTAAATAATTGCTCTTTGCATATAATACCTAATATAATGTTTTCACCAAGCAACCTAAATGCACCGATTCCATGTATTTTGTGATCTCGCACTAATAGTATCAGACGTGTACTAACTCATTTGCCCAACACACAATGTAATCTAGCAGTAATAGTAAACAGTAACAAATGGGAGCATACAGTGTGTTTGAAGTGATGACGTCAGGCCCATTCTAAGAAAGTACATCTAGCCTATATTTATGGCTATTTAGCATAGTTTTTTGATTTGTAATGTCTGACTACAACAGCTTGAATGCCTAATCATTAGCCATTAGTTGTTTAATGCAAAATAATTAGAGTTTTATTTACTAAAGTGAATTAAAGTGAAGACCAGAGTAGCCAAACTGAAAGCAAAGTCGAGAATTTTCCCAGTTATTTTGACCCTAAATTTGAAATTCACTTTGAACTCACTTTGAATTCTCACTTTAGTGAATAACCCTCTTAGACTTATTGGCATGAGGCTAGTGTGTTTGGTGAAATGAAAAACATTAAAGATAAATGCCAGACATCTAATTTAAGTTATGGTAATATTGAAACTGAAATACATTTCTTACTATTTTTGTGAACTCACAATGCAAAAACCGAGCCACTCAAACAATCGTGTTTGTTCTCTGTTTTTTCAGCTTTGTCTCACGCTTGTGCTGTTTTTGGGAGTCTCTGCACGTGGTCTAAACATAGGATGTCACACTGCAAGTGACACCAGGTTCCCACCAATAATTAGAGTCATGCTAAACGTGTCTGGCCAATCTCAACACGCTAGTTCTGCTGCGACAAAACGTTCTCTCTCTCCATGAGAATACAGGTAAACAGTCACTTACTCTGCACCCCCTGCTGTTATTCCATAATGTCTCACTGAACAGATCGTTGTACAATGTTACATCGTTGCCTGAATTGGTAACTGGTAACACCACTGTCAGCATTATTGGCTAAAAAGAGAATTTAAAGTGAATTCAAAGTGAATTTCAAATTTAAGTTCAAAAAAGCCAAACTGGAAAAGAAATTCTCCAAGTCATGTTTTCAGTTCAGTCGTTAAATTTTTAAATTTACTTCAAATTTACTTGGAAGATTTACTTTGGTAAATAACCCCGTATCTGTCTTTGCTGGCTTGATTTCTAAAAAAAAGTCATTTTCAAGAGAAATCAACACTAGGGAAGCGTTTTCTGCCTGACTTGCTGCGAATTGTAGTTTAAAGCGGACATGAGTGCTTCTCATAAAGAAGCATTGGTTTAATTGTTTCTCTATGAGAAGTATTGTTGGAGTAGAAAGATCTAATTAAACACAAGTCATCATTAATGATGACTTCACGTGAGGAGGACAGGAGCTCCAGTTAAGACACTGCCCTGGCTCTGAAAAAAAGTTGAGTTTAAATAATATTCCAAGCAAAAATAGTATTTTAATAAGACACAATTTTGTATGGAGTAACCCTTGATGGTTTGGCTCTCCTCTGTAAAGAAAGACACAAATAAAGCAATGTTACCATGTATCCCATGCTGAATTTCAAATTTAAGTCCAGACTAGTTGAACTGAAAATATAGTGGACTTCAAAATGTACCAAATTCAGCTATTTTTGCCTTAAATTTGAAATTCACTTTGAATTGATTTTGAATTCTCACTTTAGAGAATAAATCTAAAAATAATTGCAAATTCTGCTTTGCAATAATAATCATGGCACTTCACTGCCAAATTCTGCTCCAAATAGAATTGTAAGTATGGAAAAACAAACTGTGATGAGCAGGTCCAAATTAATAAAAGAAAAATTACAACACACAACCAGCTGAAATACACAGTGCTTCCAGCTGATTGCTTTGTGTTTTCAAACAGCTACAATCCAGGACCAGCTCATTTTTAGTGACTAAGTCTAGAGAAAGACAGGAAGGTAGTTCTATGTTCCATAGAGATTTCCCGTATATCTGCTTGTACATGCTGTATGATTTCATTTTACTGTCTAAGAACTGTTCTTTTAACTATACTGAGGATAACTGTAATAATATATTTCATTATTTGCCAACAGTAAGGATGAAGATAACCACAGAATTCCTTCTACTATTCATGAGGCAAAATGCCTCCATGCCACGTGTGTGGACAAAGATGGCAAAGTGGACGGCAGTGGGAATTCCGTCCCAATCAAGCAGAATATCCTGGTCCTGAAGTGGGAGATGAAGAGGTGTAACCCTGTCTTCCAACTGATGAAGAAAACGGTTACAGTTGCCTGCGTGTGTGTCAAACCCAATTTCCAATATATATAAAGAGAACATTATTACTAGTGATGTCCCGAACGGTTCGCCGAACGGTTCGCCACGGATGGCGAACATATGACCCTGTACCTCACAGTCAGCAGACACATTCCAGCCAATCAGCAGCAGACCCTCCCTCCCAGACCCTCCCACCTCCTGGACAGCTCACTAAGAATGCAGCTTCAAAATGGATGCTGTCCAGGAGGTGGGGGATCTGGGAGGGAGGGTCTGCTGCTGATTGGCTGGAATGTGTCTGCTGAGGTACATGGTCATATGTTGGCCGTCCGTGGTGAACCGTTCGGCGAACCGTTCGGCGAACCGTTCGGCGAACCGTTCGGGACATCACTACTTATTACTAATGTTACTTATTAGTAATACACATGATGATACAGGGAATGTTTTCAGGTTTAATTATATGCATTGAAAAGATGCATGAAAATGTAACACATATAGTGTATAAGATTAAATATTTTCATGTCAGTTTCAAAGAAACGTGTACAACCTAACAAATAAAATAACAAAATACAAAAAAGCGTTTTTAATATGTAATTACAGAGTCACTAGTATACACTCAGCACACGGTCACCTATTCTGACACGTTTACTAACCCGCCGGTATAGAAACCAAGAGAGTAAACACAGAGAGCATCTGGTACTGGCAAAAAATGCTGAATTACTATGTTTTGATGTGGCTACCTTGAGGATGTAGGGTATTACACAAGTGATTTTTAATAAAAATAAATGATACAAGTGCCTTCTATGTATGTACACAACAGACAATGTATATACACCTTTTAGACAGAAAGCATTAGGGAATATAATTAAAAAAGGGAATGTTTGAGTGAATACAATATTCTTATAAGTCCTTCTGTAGACACATCTTTAGGGGGAGGTGAAATGATCCATTCAACATTAGATCAAAGTAGGTTCTAGATCACCTGTTCAAAACCACAACTGAGTAAGAGAAGAAGTTCCAACACAGCTCTGGTTGAGGAGTTTACTTGGATCTAGAAGTGTCAATCTAAATAAGACAAATCCTATACAAACCAAGGTATAATAAGTATTAGAATGTTGTAGCCAACCTTTATGTTTTATATTATCTGCTTTATGATGATTTATATAAACTACCTTAAGTTGATTTATATTATTTTGTTATAACATATAACGTAGCATCTTTTTGATCAACTATATCATCGACAAAGATCATCTGGCTCCATAGCTTTCGATTCACGCTTCTGCCTTTTCTCAGATCCTTAGAACAAGTATAAACATGTGTGAAATTTTCTTACGGTCGGTTTACCGATTTTTTGCGCAAAATGCTTCTCAGACATATGGCTGTTCTGAGCAGAATGTATGGAATGTTGGTTGAGAAGAATCACATTTTAGGCAACCTAGGCAATTGCTTTTAACTACAGGTTTCTATCACAGGCGAGTTGGGCATGAGCAAACATATTGAACACAATTTGTTGCAGAGCGACAAGTGGAATTTATCTTGCATAATGTGCTTGTATCTACTGACATCAACGATCTCATTCAGTGCAATCTCATAGCCCAATGAAAGTTATTTGATACAGTTCACACAGATGCGGCCATATCCTACACTTTATATTAGGTAGTTCACCAAAAATGACGTACATTGCAATACAAATATTCCTTAAGATTAGGGGGAACAAAATCACATTTCATACGTCCTGATTAGACATAAAGGTTTCTTTGACTTTCTAATTATACTTTTAATACCAGGTCATTTGTCCATCCATGCCTGATAGCAATATACATAAAATAACACTAAAGGAACACTATAAGGTCAGAAAAACACCACCTAGCCTCCCTTCTCTCCCTAAATATAGCAAACTCTTACCTCCACTCTGTTGGTCCTGCCCCTGTTCTTACTGCTTGGCTAACATCATCAGAAGTAATTGTCTTGGTCAATCACATAGGAAAGCATTGGATTGGCTGAGACTTTTAAGGAGGCAGATGAGGGGCAGAGCCAGCACAAGGCAAACAAAGCCCTGGATAATAAGCATCTCCTCATAGAGATGCATGAATAAATGCATCTTTATAATGAAAGTTCAGTGTCTTCATGCAGAGGGTGGAGACACTGAATGCCAGTCACACTGAGCAGCACTGTCCCATGAAGCACCTCTCGCAGACGTCTAAGGAGTGGCCAGAGGAGGTATCTAAAAAAACAGTTGTTTACTACAAAAAGCCTGAAGGTAATGATTCTACTAACCAGAACAAATACAATAAGCTGTAGTTGATTTCCTATTCTTGATTTAATATGAGATTTTTTGAGTTGGTTTTTGAGAAATGTATTTGCCCTATTACCAAGCTGGTAGCATTTCTTTTTGATTTTCACCGTGACTTTATGTGCTTGTTCTATCATGTATTCTTAATATCAAGATTAATTGTATTTATTTTATTTGTAATTACAAGAAAAATATGTGAAACAACACTTTCCTGTCATAAAAAAATCACGGAAAGGTTGATAAAGTCATTGCATCACAGAACATTGGCTCGTATTTACAAATAATGGTTAGGGGCAAAAAAAAAAAAAACTTGACAGAGTAAAAGGGACAGTGTAGGCACTATACATATTTATAGCTGTTTTGCCTTATTGCATTGGTTATAGAGACTGGAGTCCATGGCACTGTGTCTCAATGTTAAACCATTTTCAAGCAGTTTCACAATAGATAAGGATCCCTGGCACCCGCAGCCCAGGCCAGCCCAGTCCAGCTGGAGTCATGACTGAGTCAGAGATTCCATCCTTGTAGTCATACCCATTCGTACCAGCAATGGCTGCTGTGATAGGCTGAATGTGGTCAGCTGACTCTCTCAGACAATCACAGGCACTCATTGCTGCTCAGGCAAATGCCTCTACATTAGCTCAAGTAACACAGAAGGGGATGGGTTGCAGGGAATTCTCGTTTATCATTAAAACATTAAAAACAGTTTAATACTGAATGAAAGGACTGCACCAGGGGACTCCAGACACTGTAACCACCTTCATGAGATGAAGTACTAACATTGCCTACAGTGTTCCTTGAATGAATTATGTCAAATATTTATCAACAATTAGAGTTACAAATGGTGTGACACTTTGGTAAATCTCCCTCAAAGTTTTTTTTTTTCATTGGTTGCCTGTGATCACATACAATTATTTGCAAAAAAATGCTTACATTCAGTACAGACCCCAAATCAAAAATTATAATGAAAACTCTTACCAAAGTTTAAATAATGGCTTTGTATTAGCTACTGAAAATTGCCATTACCGCCTTACTGACATTCCACCTTTAAATACACAAAGAAATATAATTTAAAATAATGTACATGTCATTTATCATTTAAACTCCTTGAATTTATCACTAAACATGGTGACAGCAATATATTACTTGGACGTTTGCCATCGCTTTAACTTTTATTGTATTTCATGATTACAGTATGTCCTTACAGAATGGTTCAAGAATGGCTTATATATCATTTGTGTGACCTGATTTGACTTAAAGAAATCATAAACCATTTTACTTAATGTATATTTCATTTTTTTTTAATTTGTGTATTCTGTGTTTATAGTGGTAAATAGAGATCTATTTTTTATCAGCGTAGATCTACTTGTAGTCAAGTTAAAAACGTCATACCAGGTCAAATGAATCACATTTTCCCCACCGGGTTCCTATATTTATGTACAGTTAGAGAGAGTGTAGGAGAGTCAGCAGTTGCAGGGTTCCCTGATCGCAAGGCAGTGATAGCTATCAGGACCAGATCAAATGTGCAGCCTAATTCAGCTTCACTTGTGTTAAAGGGCCAAACCTTTCCAGCACAGACCTTAACCCCTTAAGGACCAAACTTCTGGAATAAAAGGGAATAATGACGTCACACATGTCATGTGTCCTTAAGGGGTTAAAGGAATTCTATAGTGTTAGGAATATAAATCTGTATTCCTAACACTATAGTTATCTCTGGTACTCCCCTACCTCATGGCCACTTCTTGAGGTATATAAAAGGTTACAAAATCCTTTATTTACTTACCTATTTCCAGCACCAATCTCTATTGGTGCTGGGTCGGCGCTCCGCCTCCTCCTACGTCATCCGACGGAAAGGAACCCTAATGGTTTCCTTCATTGAATCAATGCTTTCCTACGAGAATTTTAGTGACACTAGATGCCCTCATGTAGAGCATGAGGATGTCCAGCATCAGGTAGGTGACCTAGAATCCGGTAAACTCCCAGAAACGTCTCTAGTGGATCTCTGGACGACATCAGCTAGAGGCTGTCTTAGCACTGCAATGTAAACTTAGCAGTTTCTCCAAACCTTCTATGTTTTACAGTGCAGGAATAAGTGGGACAGAAGCATTGCACCCAGAACACTTCAGTGAGCTGATGGCACCCACCTATAGTATCCATTAAACATAATCATTTTGCTTCCTGAATGAGGTTCAGCATATGGAAAAATTTTAAAGGTATTGAAGGACATGTGACATTATACATAGGTAGTAAAATAAATAAAAAGTAAATATTTTCACTGATCTGAAACACTGGGTGTCTACAGTGTTTACACTGTCCCTTTAAAGCATATTATATGTTTTTAAAACTATCTTCCTCATACCTAGTAATATACTTTTATGTGATAACTCAGCTCAAGTTTAATTTGACATTCAACAACTTCAACTTGGCTTGTCTCTTAATGATAGTAATTTGTAAAATAATAATAATGCAAGCAAAAGGAATAATGTCTGTCATAAATGTTGTGTTTGTCGAAAGTGGAACAAGCAAGATAAGGTTTATTATTGAGGAGGTGAGTCATGTGACCAAACAAGGTTTTTCGCACCTGGCAATATCTGTTGGTGATGTCTACAGAAATTACGCTGACAATCAATCAGAGTAAACTTCTCTTAGTAGTGATTAAGTGTTGTAAAGTTGTATGATATAAAACTAACATAACTTTATACTCTGCCTTTAAGAAAAATAAAGAGCAAGTAATTAATTAAATCGTATGGAATATAAATATTTTTAATCCCATGAAGTGGCTTTATTATCACAGAACAATGAATGTTCTTATTGTATATATAAGTATTGAAGTAGTATAAATGAACTGGTATGCTCATTTGTATGTCTTCTGTATTCAGTTGTATCTTTTTGAGAGTCCTATCACTATTCTTCATGTTTATTCCCTCAAATAAAACCAAAGCTTTTAGCAATACATTTTACCATGATCTAGGTCGATGATTCTTGCATACTTTGCTGAACCACCTATGAACTCTTGG